TCTTAGTCTTGTTGTAAATGCTACATTCTAAATCTATCAAAAATCAATGAATTATGAACTCATTCAACGCACAAAAAGGGTCAAACAATTCAGTAAAGTCTACGTATATAAAAATACTACCAACTTATTAGTAAGCACACAAAATGTCTCCATCTAGACTAAAATACTTTACTATAAACTTTAGGACACTCTTTTTTTCTTTCAGTTTCCTCTTTCTCCCTCAGCTAACAATTTACTTTTAATGCTACAAAAATGTATTGTATCTTTATCGTGGTGAAGTAATTTGTGGTTCTAAGTGATAAGTGTTTTGAGGAGTTAAACCAACATGAGCAAGAGTTAGACTTGTGATCACGAGGTGCTCTAATAAAGTATCAATACAATGGTGTGGTTAAGGTTAACTTTTCATGGTCCTTCCATTAAGTACTGTGGAGATGATCCCACCTTCCCCACCCTCATAAGTCAAACTGGAGAGTTTTCTTATGAGGACTAGGACTAGCAATGGAAGGAAATGGGTGGGATGCCTGTGATATCATTGGTCAACATTCGCAGCAACTTGTACTTCTATTTAATTCTTGTTTATGTTGTGTTTACTAACCTCGAGAAGATTCCTACAGTAACTGGATAAACACTATGAAAAGAAGTAATGAACGTTCGAAATTACTACATGCAACTGTTATACATAAAGTGTCATTTAAATATACTGAATTCAATTACAAAGCTCAGAAACGTCTGATCAAGTTTAAAATATTACAAAACTGTAAAGCAAATGTTTCAAATAATCAGCTTTAAAATAACCAGTCTATCCGAAACTAATTAGACCATGAAATACTCTGAGAATTCTTTGAAACTGTTTTCCAAACATTCTACACACGCCATATAAATTGAGAGACCTTTAAGTTGAAAGAAAACAAAAACCTGTTCCATGATTCTAACAAGTTTCAGAAACACGGGTGGAAATTTTAAAGATCAAGAAATGAAGCGAGAGCGGGTGCCTCGTATTCTTTAGTTCTTTTTCAGAGCTGTTTCTTGTCATCGCAAACTTTCACGACATATTGCTAGCTATGTGTTTTTGCAGAGGTACAGAAGTACGGGTTTTGGAAATTGCATTGTCTTTGGCTGTTCTCTAATCATTATTTTAGTTGATAAATATAGCTGCTGAGAATGTTGACCTTTTCTTTTGGCATTTAGTTGTTCATTCTATACCAGTTTGTTTCATATTTAAGATACTGTTGGACACTTAGCTCAAAGTCTCCACACTTGTTCATCTCTGTAGGTGGCTGCAACTTGCGTTGCTCCTCCGAGGCTTCATTAACGATCAGTGCCATTCCCTCGAGCTGGTGCACCTCTATGTGACAGTGCAGAAACCACTGGCCAGGATTATCAGATATGAAATTGATGACAACGTATCCCCCGGCAGGGACTATAACTGTGTCCTTCCTAATCGTTTTTTGATCTATAAAAAACTGCATTGGTTCGCCCGCCCACCTCGGTTTGGTACATCTCTTCTTGTCACAATCCTTCTTTGTGCAGTTAACATCATCGCAGTATATTTTTTTGTTGTGTCCTTCAGGTCTGATAAAACCAGTTTGCGGGTCATATTCTGGATATCCAACATCAACAACATGAAATGTATGACCATGAAGGTGAATTGGATGAGCATTGTTGTAAGCACCAATTGCCGAAGCACGAATTGAACAGTTTCCTTATGTGGAATGTCTATCACGTGGACACATGAGCAATCGGTTGTCGATGGATTGCAGTCAGCCTTCAGGTCACAAATTGTGTCCTTTTTGAGAAACTCTTCATGTTGGGTTTGGGGTGGAAAGGAAGGAAGGATGAAATTGCGCCCATTCACTGCACTAGTTTGAGAACCGCCCTCAAAATTGAAGTTGATGAAATGTCGACAATTTGGGCAACTCGCGGAGCTTCTAGGGTGTGCATTTGGAAGTTCGTTGTGTGGAGTTGGCTCAAGTAAACGTAGGCTTTGAACGTTAATACAAATGGTGTTATAGGAGTCATGGAAGTTCTCAAATGGACAGTTCACCGCTATGCATTGATGGTAATTAGAGCACTGTCGAGTTGGAGACTCATTTTTTATTGTCTCATATTTTGTGGACGGTACATTATCATCTGGATTAGCCGAGTCTCCATGTTGTTTGTAGTGCAGAATAGCCTCTGCCACATGCCCTAGTGACCGGTAGGGTGGCTCCATCCCGTTGGGATCAATCTCCAGCGTCTCTGCACGTATCCAGTAGTCTTTTCTCCTTGTATTTGTTGCACTTAGTAGAAAGTCATACCTCTCTCCGGAATGAATAATGATGTAATCAACGTTATCTTTGGGCATAATCCAATAGCCGTCGGTGGCCACCACAGTCAGCTTATGTCCATCAACGGAGAATTTGTAAGTGTACAGTCCTTGGGCTCTAATCAGCCGGAAGCGATATGTCTTTTGGGGCTCAACAGTAAATATGCTCAGTCTTGTTTTAGCGTATGGAACATCAGCATGCCTGCCTTTATTTACCATTTATGATTCCAGAAAAATACGGGACAGGACCAACCTCTCCTTCTTCAAAACTACGTGTGGAGTTATACCGTCGCAGGAAATCGTCTGGAGTTGGTACGTCGCCAAGCGGCTTGCCTGGATAAAAGTTCAAGCTAGCGTGAATCTGTGTGAACAGATCCAAGGATGCCTCATGTTGCCAATCGAGAAGCGTTAAGGTGTGCTGATCTGGAAGATCCTCAAATGCAGACCTCTGTAGTGTATCTCGGAGTTTTCTCATTTTGGAAGGGCGTTCTTTAACTATAAGACCACCGAAGAAGCCATCTGTTCTTTGAGCGCCACTGTGAGAGTGGTACCAAAACGTCCTAGCAGGACTAGCGGTATACACGTATGAAAAGCTAGATGAGGGTCCTATCTGACATTGAATTACTTGTCCGACGCCATCCATCCAAGGCGTTCCTCTCTGGTGCATCCCATGCCAGTGAATGGAAATACCTTCAGTGGTAAGGTTGTTGTGAACATGAACTACCACAGTTTGCCCCTCGTGAACAATCAAAGTAGGTCCAGGGATTTGCCCATTAACGGCTATTGCCAAACGGTACGTCTTGCCATCTACAAACTGGGGGCTAGTGCATTTACTTTTGTCCTGTGTTGCACATTGTCTATCTTTATGCAGTGGCAGAGGTATTCCATTTTCATCGAAATAATAGATCACTCCCTGGGAGCCACGCATAGCTATTCCTGTAGGTTCATCTACTGATAACTTTTGATAACTGATGAAGGTTCGAATTTCGTCAACTTCAAGATTGAATATACAAACCTTTTCATGTTCCATGCATTCACAAGTTGGATTGCCGTATTCACAATTGAGGACATCTTTAAATGACCTTGTTAGTTTGATGTCTGTCGTTCCGTGTGGGCCAAACCTCTTGTTGAGATGTGGATCACTTGTCAGATCCATGTATTGCTCTTCACCGGTCCTAGCAAAAGTGCTAATGGATGCTATGTACCAATTCTCATTTCTTCCATTATGAGCTTGTAAGTGAATTTCCTTAATGTCGGAGAACGACACGCATTTAGTGATTTGAAACCGATGAGACGGATAAAACCGGCTTGCGAAGTTCAACTCTCGCTCATATTTTCTGTTTCTTTCCATTGGTCCTTCAAGTTCCGCTCGAAATCGTTGGTTATTTGATAAATCGAGGACTATAAAGATATTCGTGTCGTATGGTTTGAACGAGAAAGCACTCTTGTAACGCGTTACTACCTCTACACGTATGTACGTTAAACAGGGTTTTGCGACAGCATTGGTAAGGAGTAGCGTTTTGGCATTGTATGGGTATTTATATTCTTCATTGTTGTCCACCCACATATTAAAGCCTGGATCAGTGGTCAGTTTTGAGTAATCTCCAGACCTTCCTGCGATATAGGTGTTGATCCATTTAACGTACCATCCATCATTTCCTTTAGCCTCGAGATAAACTTTGTCTATGTCTCGACGTGTGCAGCTAAGCTTCGGCTGAAAATCATAGGGTTTCAATCTTATTGTGTATTTAGTGCCTTCACGCTTTTTGTATGGAAGCGTTGCTCGATGGCTCTTTCCATTTTTCAGAAGGATGATTAGTTGTGGATCTGCACCATAGTATAAACTTTGACTTCCGCCAGGGCGTCCAACCGGGTCCCTGCCTGTCATTGCCTCAACCTTTACATAGTAGATGAACTCTATGAAGACAGAACATGGAAAAGGCATTTAGTTGCCTAGCTTAACACGTAAGAAGTTAGTGTCAGGTTGAAATCAGACGGCAAAAGTAAACATTTCGATGAAGATGAATATGGCCTTCGACACTTCTTCCTCTTAACACCAAATTACATGATCACAGTCGAAGATTCAAGCTACAAGCAGGCAAGATGCTTTTGCATCGACGTCCTTTGTGAGAGAAACGCTCGAGCATCGGGCCCTCTCACCCTCTATGTTTCTATGCCAGTTCGACAATTTTAATACAATCAATCAAGCCTTGGCCTCTCCCTATAGCTCATATCTCGAATTCCAGGTCTACCGCTGAGCCGAATTTCCATGATGTGGAAGTGCTCTTACTTCAAAGTTGCATATGAAACGTCGCACGTAAGGTATCGAGAATGGATGAAAATTCAGTAGATGATGATAAGTAGCAATTTTTCACTGAAGTGGAGGTGAATAATTTTTTTAGTGTCTACCACAACAGTGAGATAATTGAGCCAAATCAAAGCGGCTGTTAGCCACAAAACGCGGAAAAAAATTAATGTTGTTAGTAAAATCTATGTTAGTTTTTGTTTTTGTTTATAAAATTTCTTAATAAATTTATATATTTTCCTATAGACTAGGTGGTAAGTCGAGCTCAGAATACTATTTCTTAAGAGAGTCCACTGTAAAGAAGACGTCAGGTACAGGATTGAACGAGCGAATGTCAGTTTCACTTGTTTCTTTTGTAGGAAAAAAAAATCGCATAGAGTAACGTGATTTTGGTTGTTATTGGGTAGTCGAATAATTTTACTTTTTTGTCACCAGATACTTAGAAATACTATTCAAATTTTTTCTTTACTATTTTTATCTGCTTACGTCTATATTATCCCTTTGGGGACGAAATAATTTTATTTTTGAAAAATCGATGTATTTTCCTGTAATTCCTGATACTTCACATGGTCTTTTTAGATCATGACACTAGTCGTTCTGTTGTTTTCTACGAAATAATTTTTTGACCTCATAGATCACGTTTCATCTTTTACATGTTGCAGATCATGCCTGTTGAATAAAAAGAGAAAACGCAAAAAGACAGAGAAACAAAAAAAAAAGTACACAACCATAATGGTGCCAAACCAAATTTCGTCGCCTTGTTCGTATTTTTCGCGAACAGCTTAGTTGTGAAATTTCTTCGTTTGTTATGTTAGCAAACTTGTAACCAAGCCATTTTGCTCGCAACTTGCGCAAGTTTGGTGTCGCTTGGAGGCTCCTGCCCGGAGGTGAATAGCACTGAATATCCCAAGTTTGAGTGGCCAGAGAAAACAGCGTGCGAAAAAATGATATCCACTGTTTCAGTATATACTAATAAAAACTATCATGTGTTTGAAAAATTACCATACCACGCGAAATCCTTTTATAATCTCCACGAAGGTTCATGGGTGTGTCTAAAAATCCTTTTAGTCTCTCTAAACAGGAAACAAAATGAAAAACAGTGATTTCTTAGAATTTTGTACCTAACGAGAACTATAAATCAACGGCGAAAATTCAGTTACTAATAAGGGTATATAAAGCGAGAACTGAATTCGAGCGAATGGAGAGAGTGGGAGGTCTACAATAACATATAGATTTAGCCAGAACTAAAAGGGAAGCTCTCGCTTATGCCTTTATGGTTTTTTCAGAGAATGTACTTAAAATCATTGCAAAGAAATACACAAATCTCATATTTAATTGCTTTAGGGGAGAACTTTATGACTGAGAAACAACAGCGGAAATCTTAAAAAACGTGAGCTCGATGAGTTTGCACCTGAGCCCGCGATACGGTGATGTGAGAGCGGATACCCTGTTTTGAGAGCTGTCCATTGACCATAACAAGGATGTTTATTGTCAGGTTAAACACAGGTTACAGGCTCCCATACTAACTGGAAAGTTTGGCAATTCACATTGGTGTCCCTGTAGTGCGTACGAACGGGCGGACGTAAGGTCACGTGATTACCAAAATTTCTCCGCCATGAAAGTTCAAAAGGGCCCGTTATCTAGTCTCAATCTAAGGTAGCAAACCGGTTTTACCAGGAAGTATCGGTCAGTTAATCTTATTGGATCTTTTTGGTGTCCTATGCGGTGAAACTGTTTTCGGGTAAATTGTTTGATCTACCATTTTATAGAAACTTTCAAATCGGTTTGAACGTTACAATCATTTCTTTGAAAATGGTTTGAAAGTTATTTGATTGTTATGATCCTTTCGCGCATGTGTAATCTCTCTGTAGGCTTTGGAGTGTTAACTTTGCCAGTGCGCATGTGTGCGTATGGTATGGACGTGTTGAAGGAGAAAGTAGATACTGTTTTTGGAAAACCTAAGCAACTTAAAGAGTCCTTGAAGCAGCAGCGTCCTGGCAGCCATGATGCAAGCAATGTCGCTTGGGGCCAAGCTGCTAAAACTTACAAAAACAAAATTCTTATTCTTCAAAAAACGCGCCCTCCGCCTCATGTTCTTTGGTGATTACAATTCTCATGCAGTACCTTATTTTATCTCCTCTAGCTTTCTTCCCTTAGATCTACTGTACTTTAAATCCGTTGCTATTTTAATGCATGGTATATCTAACAGCTTAACACCTACTGACATATCTAACTTATTTGCTTCCCAATCTAATATTCATTCATATAATACAAGATCATTCTCAAGAGGTGACTATTATGTTAAACACTCAAGGTTAGACAAACAAACTAAGTCTTTTTCAAGATATGGTGTAAAAATCTGGAATAACTTTAAAATCAATGTCCACGACACTTTACTCCGAATACTTTCAGAAGAAAATGATTAAATTGATTTACCCGACTTAATAACAAAAATTTCCCGAAAACTCGGCTTCTTATATTTGCAATGTCCATGATTTTAAACTTAATTAAATTGAATTTATTTTTATTTATTTGTTTATTTATTTAACTACTCTTTTTCTCTAGCCTTTCTTGTGATTATCTGTATGTGTATTACATACGTGTAACCACTGTTCGCCTCGAATAGCTAACCTGCTAACTGCGGGCAGTGGATATTGCTTTCTGTAAAATTTGTGATAATTAATAAACAGTTAAAAATTTTCAGTTAAATTTTCAGTGTGGGGAAAGTAGTTACTTTTAAAGTCGCTACAACCAGTTGCAAAAATGTTGAGACACTCCCACGCAAAATCACTGTTAGTCACAGGTCTTTGAGATATAATATTGACCTCCCTCCTCCCTCCCATTCAAAGTTGTTCCTCCGTGTTTTGAGCATGGTCTTGTTTGTCAACTTTGATAAGGGGTGGAGGGGGATCACAAGCACAAGATGATGGACAGGCCATTTGTACCAAAATACGGTACAGTGTCTCAAGTACTTCTGCAACTGATTGTAGCTCCATCTTGATCCTTGGGTCGCACACCTTTCTCGTCTATCCACAAACCATCTTTCGTCACTCAACGAAGTCTTCGATCTTTGTCTAGCAACCGTTAAAAAGGCTGAATAATAGTCGCTTATTACTTCATTCAAGCGCTGCACAACAATTTACTCACTTTTTTCAGGTTTCTGGGATTCCACATCGAGAAACACTCTTGAATTCTCAGAATCCTCTTCGGTTTGCTCTACGAAAAGAAAAAAATAATGTCTAGTTTGAAGATCTTTTATAAGTCAAAATCTGTGGTAGAAATAAAAGGTGCTTTCCATTCAGTCCCAAATTCCGGAAATTTCGGTTAGAAATATATCAAATGGAACGGACCATTTCGGTTCGTTCCGACCGGAATATTTGAAGGTGGTCCACTATGACCGGTTCTGTCCATTTGACAAAATCATCGTCCCCGGTACCGCTTTCTTGTATCCTGCTTGCAAGAACAATAACCAAACAACTTGCGCCCGATTAGAAACCTCCAGTTCTTTTCTAAGTTGACTGAACGCGTTGTTATTGGTCAAACCTGTGATTATTTGACTGCGAATCGACTGCTCCCTGAGTTACAATCTGCCTACAGGAAGCGTTATACCGCAGAAACGGCATTTACTCACTTAACGGTACCAGGGGGTTCGTGCTTAGGACCTCTCCTCCTCACCCTCTACGCTAGTAAGTTGTTCTAGGTCATCGATAAGCATTTGCCTACTGCGCATGCATATGCTGATGATAGACAGCTTTATTTATCTTTTAAGCTTAAGGCGGGGTAATGCCAATCAGAAGGAGTGCTTAGGTTCATGCTTTCATTATAGAAAGAATTGACTTCTCGTAAGTTACAGGGCTATGTATAAAAGTGGGACGGGGACAAGGGGACGGGGACATCGGAACGCGTGTGTTGGGACTTGGGACTTGGGGACGCGAGACGAGGGACTTGAGGACATCAAGTATGGGACGTGAGGACGTGTGGAACGGGGACGCGGGATATGAATAATTGGAGGTAATTGCGATATCAGTCACTTTCCTCGTGAATATGTTTTGGTGAAGGTAACCCACCCTGACCTCCTTAGGTTTCCTCCATGCCTGTTTAGGAGGCGAAGACTCGGCGAAGACCCCCTGCATTGAAGAAAGTGAAACCGTTGTCCTCGTCTTCTTGCTCATGGAACATTGGAGCCCAAAGTAGGGTAGAGTGGGTTACGGTTGCCAAAAATTATGTAGAATAACAACATTCGATTCCAAATAAATTTGAAATTAAGTGGTTTAAGCGAGCTTCAGTCCCGAAGTGCTAACTCCGAAATCCATCGCCTGTACCACTAAACCACGGAGGATTCAACTATTGTAGCAATATTCATTTTGTTCTAAATATATTTTTAGTGGCAAACCTAACAGTAAATGCTTGCTAACAGTACTTAAAGGTTGATTTCCACTGACGTTTTTTTTGGCTATGCACGTTAACGCAAGTAAATTTTAATCACGTAAATAATTAAGATATAGGCAAGATATAAATTGTTGCGATTAAACGTGAAGTTGAGCGAGATTCTACTTTTACGCTTACGTGCGACCTTTCATGCATTGCCTCTGTTATATTTGCGAACGCAAATTTTACACACGTACGCATGGAAAAATTACGCGACAGTGGAAATCAACCCTAACCCTAATCACGATAGTCAGTGCGCTTACTCCTATTATAAAGAAATATTTTGTGTAATCGTCATAAGGTGTCCAATGTGGTTTTGGAAGATGGAATCTAATGTTGACCATAAATAACACATTTTCACGAAGAAAGAGGTATCGCATTTACCTCCAACTTTTGAGATAATTATTCACATCCCACGTCCCTGTATTTGACGTCCCCGCGTCCCATACTTGATGTCCTCAAGTCCCTCGTCTCGCGTCCCCAAGTCCCAAGTCCCCACACACGCGTCCCGATGTCCCCATCCCCTTGACCCCGTCCCACTTTTATACACAGCCAACTTGCAGCGTGTTCAGAATGCGGCTGGTAGACTAGTTACCGGTATGTCCCGTTTTAGCCATGTAACTCCATTGTACTGGATGCCGGTGCAGGAACGAATTCGCCATAAAATAATAATACTGTCCTTAAAATCTATTTATGGCCTAGCGTCTACTTATCTTTGTAGTCTGATAACCATTCAACGTCCCAGTATGTATTCTCTTCGACGAAGTGATTATCTGTATCTTAAGCCATTCAATGCTAAGACATCGAAAATACTGGGTGACAGGTCATTTACAGTGATGGCGCCATCTCTTTTCAAAGGTCTTCCTCGTCACATAAGACACGAAAAGAATTTTACCTATTTCAAATCCTTAAAAAAGACTTTTTTGTTTAAATTAGCCTATGACTTTTAGATACTCTTGATAGTTTTAATATTTTAAGAGTTTTTAGATAATTTCTAGATAGTTTTTATATTTCTAGATTATTTTTTACTTATATTTCTTTTATCGTATATCTTACCGATATTTTGAAAACCAAACTAACGAAATTTGCAGTCATTTGAATGAAAAGAGGTCAAAAGGCAGACTCTTATGCCCGGAAAGATCCAAAATCAAAGTAACGATGGAAAAGGAAAAAGAAAAAGGGAGGAGAAGGAAAGGAGGAGATGAGAAAAAAGCAATGGTTGCATTCTTAGTTTTTATAATGGCTACTTTGGTAGAAAAAGACAACAGCGGTAACGTTTTCAAAAATCCGGCTAGACTAGTTACTTTTTGTTTGTTTCTGAATTAATTTAGTACGCGTGTTAGCGACGATCAAAAATATATAAATATATCTACTATCTTATATAAATATATCTATACTTGTTTTTATGCATTTTTATATGTTTATATTGTATATAACCATTTATTATATACATACTGAGAAATACTCACCAAAAAGCTATGTCGTAAATTTTCGTACGCAAATTAGTTCTAGCCAATCAGAGGAGCGAACGATGGTTTTCACACGTGAAAAAAAATGATACGTCCAATCAGAATCGCGAACGATGTTTTGTCACGTGTGAGAAAAATGATACGTCC